AGAACTAAACAGGTGCGCCTTTATGAAACTCGACCAAGTAAGGAGTATGTGATCCACTTAATATTCGTCACAGTGTGAACAGAAATTCACAACTCCTAACAAATTTACCCTTGTTTCTTTCCGCTTCCTTAATAACTTCCAACCATGTACATACTACAACATTAATCAATATCCACGAAGAAATCGAATCACTTTTATTTGAACGGATCTTTTCAACTCACTATATGCGATCTCTCCCAAAGGCACACCGTCTCCCATCTGTATCGTAGTAGCTGCTTTCTTCGGTGTTGGAGTAGCGATAGCGATCCTCTCCACCTTGTGCCTTTCGCGCTTACCCTCGACCTCAAGCGGAAGGTCGTACAATCCTGAACAAAATGAGGATACGTCAGCCCAAGCCAAATCCTGAATGATGTCCTTCCCCAGAAACTTTGATAAACTCGATACCTTTCTTCGACTCGTGTTCATCTTCCCCATCATCATCTTCCTCTTCCTCCTCTGCTTCATCCGCACTGTCTTTTTTGCCGGGCGTTGACTGGGGCAGTTCATCATCTGCTTTTTCTTCTTTTGAAGGTTGCTTTGTCGATGCGCTTGACTGTGATGTCTTCTAAACAAATGAAATGAAATTTCTGGTTCAATTGAATATGGTCCAAAATCGAAGCTATCTTACTTCACTGGTGTCCATTGCATTCTCTTCGGCGGCTTCGTTTCGCTCATTCGGTTTCTCTACTGCTTGCTCCGAGTTGTCTGCGATTTCTTTTGCATCTCCTTTCGCCTCCGCAGCCTCCACAGATTTCTTTGCATTTTCCATATCATCTACGCTTTCCTCAAATATGAAAACACTGACCAAAAATTCAAAAGATAAGCCTTCTAACACCAATCTGGAAAAGTGACCAAATACTCCACGTTAATCCTGACTTGTTTTGTTTAGCTGCTGATTTGACGCGGCAATTCGCGTTCGCGAATTGTTTCACAAGAACTGCAGAGTTGTGGGCATACTTTCGCTCCAAGTGAGAATCGAACCCGCAGCTCTAACTTTCCGGGCCTTTCACCACCGAATACACGCCTACGATTACACATCACGACTGAACATTAATTGTACAACGATTTGTACCGCCACGTCGATAGGAATTGCATTCGAACGCCACTGCGATTCTGAGTGGACATAGAGACCGCAGCCCATAGTAAAAGCGACTAATTGAAATCAAATACATTATTCCCTGTCTTTTTATTTGAAGGGCGGAAGTGGTGTAGTGGCAAGTGGCACGCTTACCACGCGAGCGGTCCGGGGATCAAATCCTGGGTCGTGAGTCGCCCGGGCCAACCAAGCCTTCCATCCCTCCGGGGTCGGTTAATTGGTACCAGACTTGTCTGGAGGATAAAACACTGACTTGTACATCGGCTGATCCCCATTACTCAACGGCAAATGCTTAACCCTTTTATCTTCTTTACTTACTTTTTTTTGAAAAGAGGGTTCAAAACACTGTGCAGATGAAGACACACTTTTGCAAGAAAAAATGACTGCAATAAGTATTTAAGTTGTATCTTTTTCGCACTCAGAAATAAGAGGGAAAACTACACTGCGAAAATTGCAGCTTACCCAAAGCACCATCTACTCTCCTAGCATGACCCAACACTAACAAATTTGCAGCGGAACGCTCTTTTTAATACCTTTTCGTTTGAAAAATAACAATAGCTTGTGGGCGGGAGTGTCAAGTGTTACTGGCTACCTCGCCCAGTCCGGGACCTGATTGGATCCCAGACCACCCAGGCCTTTTACCCCTCCAGGTCGGTGAGTTTTATAGGATTTGTCTAGTAAAATAAAAACACTGGCTTGAATATCTGGACCCCGCAATTCACTGTATTCTCGAAAATGCATTCAAAATGCCACCACGTTTCTAAATAGAAGTGGTATGCGTGGCGCACCCCATGCGGGATTGATCGACGCTAAACTCATTTTTCTATCATTTTACTCTATCGCCCACTAATCAACCAACGACAAGAATAGTACATTTGCGACTGTATGATGAAAAATTCAAAGTGTTATGTTCAAACCATTTTTTTGAATTTTAAACAGAGTAGAGAAAGAAAATATAATGATTGCACAATAACTCACCATCCGATCGTTTTCAGCCGAAATAATATTGTCAGTGTTATTCTGCAACAACGCCATTGTATAACAATCCAAGAGTAATACTAGTGACGCCGCGACCTTCAAAAATGCGACACTACGAGTTCGCGCGCGAAATCGCCCAGTTCCCGAAGGAGGACGCCGGCGGTTACACTCATCGCTAATTAGCCAACGCCAAAGTACCGAACCATTACCAATTAGACTGGGAACTTTGGTAACTAGGCCAAGCGGTAAGAAATGAACCCAGGATGCGATGAATAATAATTGTTCCGCTCCTCGTCCCTAACTGGGCAGCTCACCATGGAATAACGATTTTTCTTAGAAATAGACCGGATTTCTCAAAGTGTTCGTTCATTATACGTTAGAATAGGAAATAGGTTGCTACTGTAGGAAATTTCGAGCGAAAGGGAGGCTGAGATCTAATGGAATCATATCTAGAA